TTTTAAGGTAACACAACACAATACTATGAATATTAGTGTTTTATTTCTGTGCTCAACAGGTTTACTGTGATATGAGTAATGGAGGTGGCTGGACTGTATTTCAAAGGAGAATGGATGGCACTGTTAACTTCTATCTCAAATGGGCCGACTATGTTAAAGGATTCGGAGACCTCAATGGAGAGTTTTGGCTGGGACTTAATAATATATACCGGCTGACAAAAAGCAGCACTAGCCTTCGTATTGACTTGGAAGATTTTGAAGAGAGTAAGAGGTATGCCACATATACTAGCTTTGAAGTAGGAAATGCAGCCACGCAGTACCTACTGACTGTATCAGGTTATGGAGGTGATGCTGGTGATGGTATGGCATATCACAATGGAATGAAGTTCACGACCTATGATTACGACAATGACACTGGCACAGGAAATTGTGGACTTATCTGTAGTGGAGCATGGTGGTACAAATATTGTCATACCGCTAATCTCAATGGTTTATATTTAGTGGGTAGTCACACTTCATATGCTAATGGTGTCAACTGGTATCCTTTCAAGGGGTTCTACTATTCACTGAAGACAACCGAAATGAAAATGAGGAGGAATTAATTTTTTTTCTGGAACTATTGATTATTAATTTTAATATTAATAATTCATAATCATTATGAGTATTAGTGCTGTAGTGAGTATTATTAGATTTAGAACTTTTGAGTTCATCATTTTGTAGTTTTTTTTCAATTCAAAATATTCAATTCTTCTTACTTTACGTAAAAGATTATATTTACGATCAATGCAGTGTTACAATTGCCATTATCTATAGTCATGCAAACATTATAGTTATAGTAGACAGGGTTCCACCTGTTGCTCAGTATACATCTGCAGTCCCATGTTGCATGAATCTGAAAACTGTTTTCCTTCAGTTCAGAGAAAAATTAATCATCTTTATTTTATTTGTCACTACCTTCTGTTCTGTGCTGTTAAGTACATGTATAATAATAATAACTAGATCTATAAATAAGTGCACACATGAGTGGTCTTAGTGTGGCTTCCAAGTGTTTCACATAAAATTAGTGCTGAGTTCATTATTACTGAATTAATGTTATGCTGTGTACTGACTGTGGAAATAGATTTTACTGTTGTACAGTAATTTGCTTGTGCAGTAGTGGTTATTAAGCCATTGTAGACTGTCGCTTGCATCATCAAATAAATAACATTCCTTCTATGCATCTAATTCTCAATGCGAGTTTATAGCTTATGCCTTAATTTATGTGAACATGTGAATTCATGTTACCACTTAGAGAATGTACTAATAATATTACATTTGGCTTACCATGCAAAAGCATCTGTTAGATCTATAATTAAAAAGTGCCATACACATGTTGTTGTGATTAGCCAAGTATATAGGGTATTGGTATCAGTAGTATAAGTATAAATTTTGTATTGGTGCATGAAGTTGTGACAATTTTTGTTAATTTTATGACTATATATAATGATTAATGAATTAGAATTTAGGTAAGACTCATACCAGTCCTACACTAAACTATAATGGACCAATTATAACAACAGTGGAACTACATTTGGCTTTAAAGATTCACTTTGAGGAATGTTAGTGTGCATGCAACACATCCCCAATCAAACTGAAAAACCACAACCACTAATCCACTACAGGTCTGTACTTCAAGGAATTCTTTCATTATGAGTATAGTATTATAATTGCCACGAAATCATGCTAACAACATCTGCCAAATAATACTAAAAGCCAAATTTTCTTTAGAATCATAGCAAGCTTTAATACAAATGCAGCAAGCATGATGCGTACGTAGTAGACTAATAAAAAGAGACATGAAGATAGAAGGGAGGGACAAGAGACTGAGAATTAAATGGGAGAGAAAGTGGCAGAAGGAGAATACATTTACATATACATGTACAATATTCATAGACTGTTTTAAAAAAATTGAGGAGCTGAGAGAAGAGCTCTCAGAACTTTGAACACAATGATGAGTACAAAGGTAATATTAATCAGACCTGGGGTCAATTACAAAAGCTCAATTACAATTACACATTTAATTACACTCCTTTTGTAAAAATAGGCTCAATTACAATCACAATTACACCATGATAGTGTAATTTTAATTACATTTTCAATTACAATTACAATTCGATGCACATGTATTGTAACAACATACTTCACAGTGCTTACACTGTACCTTTAAAATTTACATCAGGTGGCTATTTACAGTTATCAAATACAACCATACACATTAGAGTACATTAAAACATTTCTTTTTGCATCTGTACATTCTGTAGTACTGTTAGTAGACTCCAATATAACTGAAATTTCAATAACATAAGTTGAAGCTCAATTACAATTACAATTACGTAATTGTAATTGTAATTGACCCTTCAATTACAATTGTAATTGACCCCAGGTCTGATA